CATTAATTCCCCTCAAATAAAATGTGGCATAGCAAGTCTGTGCTAATGCTGTACAGCTGCTGGTCCCCCATCCATCTGCCCCAGCTAGCTGGCCCATAGCTACAGCACCAGTCCTGGGGCCTCATGGGAGCCCCTTTATTCTACAACTCTACACCAGTGAGACATGGGAGCCCCTTTATTCTACAACTCTACACCTGTGAGACAGCCCTGGGAGGTCAGTACCATCATCACTCTCATCCTTGTGGGGCCGATGAGGAAACCGAGGCTCAGGGAAGGTTCAATATTACTTCATAGGTAATGGCTCTGGAGCCAGGAAGAGAGGCAGGTGGCCCGACTCTTGCTGGAAGCCAGTGTTAGGACATTCAGCATTTTCCACTGACCTTCCCATCACCAATGTCAGAAATACCAAACACTAGTCCGTACCCTGTCAGACCCACAGTTCTCTGCTCCAAATAACCCTGGCCATTGAGGGTCGCTCTAGGAAAGGCCTATACCTCCGCCCAAGCATGAGTGTCCACCTTTTGTCGACAACACCCAGACACCGCGCGCACACGCGCGCGCGCACACACGTATGTGTGCACCACTTCTGCTCGCCCTCATCCAAGGAGGTTCTCACAACACCTGCCAAGTCTTGCAGCAGGTTGCAATCTCCACTCCAAACCATCTAAGAAACATTCACTAACGGTCATAATTTTAAGTCCCTGTGTTTGAATATCTATACCCAGAACACTGGCAAGTGTCCAGCTCAGAGGCTAGTCTCAAACCTGTGCAACTCTACACCAACCACACTGAGGTGAGCGGTCTGAATCTGTGCTGAGGGACAGGCAGGCTAGAGGTGAGCCCTCAGTGGGGTGCAGGGAAACTGGCAATGGTTCAAGTCTGAGACCGATCTGGGTTAAATTCTGGCTCTACTGTGGTCTAGCAGCGGGACCTGGAGAAAGTCACTTAAGGGCACAAAGTCTGGGGCATCTGAGTGGGGCTGTGAAGGCTGAAGAGGAGTTTGCCACAGAAGAAACAGCCCTGGGAAGTCTGTTGCTCTGCTATCTTCTGCCAAACTGACTTAGTTCTTCGGTTTCATGACAATTCTTGTTCATTTGGATAACAAATACACCCTGTTCTCAGGAAACAATAGAGAAAGATCCCATATAGTCAGAGTACCCACAAAAAGTGCTTACTCAGCACAGAGCTGGGTGCCTGCGAACTGTGGTGTGGACAGCAGCCAAGGCCAATAGTGCCACGATCCAGGCTCAGTAGACTCTCCCAGAGAAGAGTCCTGGTGTGGCGTGGTGGTTTGATAAAGCACTGGACCGCAAAGTCGTTTTAAACTCACAAGGTTGGCGGTTCAAAGCCCTGGTGTGGCGCTGCGGTTTGATAAAGCACTGGTCCGCAAAGTCGGTTTAAACTCACAAAGTTGGCGGTTCAACCTCATCAGAAACACTATACAGGGTCGCTAGGAGTCCAAACGGACTCAATGTCTTTAATAACAACAGGCTTTCTAGTCAGATGGAGACTATGGCCATAAACCGCCCTTCAGGCCTGGAGTTGAA